CCGCGCTCCAAGTCGCCGTAGGCATTGCGCTTATCTTATCCAATGAAAACCTTGTCGCGCCATACGACAGCCAACTCGATTGGACACTGTAAGGTGCGCGAGCACAGTGTCAGCCCACACCCCGATATTTCGTTGACGAGTGCCAGTATTGTTACGCTGCCTACGTGCCGGGCACGCCCACGCGGCAGGCATCAGCACGGCGCCCTGCATCATCGCTTGGTCTTTGCACGATTGCCTGGCACTCGATGGTCCTGCAATGCGCCACGACCCAAGCAAAATACATGGCTCTGCACTGCGCCACGTGCACCATTTTGGGGGCTCTCTTGCCCAGCAACCAAATCTTGTGTTTTCCTCCGCACCTAAACACTCCTACCTTGAGTACATTAAAAAAGTCAAGTGCGCATCAACCTAGCACGCGTTAAGTACCCCAACGCGCAGAAGAAGCTCTCCGGCAGCCGCGTCAAGATGGACTGGGACAAGCGCGACACTCCAAGCGGCAGCAGGAGCGCTCATACCAGCAAGATCGCACCCAGTGACAGTACAACAACCGTGACCAGGCAAGATGGACGGAGATCTACTCCATGTTGGACTCGTCAAGCGACGAGCAAGAGGAGGCGTTCAGCAACGACCACGAGATATCGGAAGCCGATATCGCTAATGTGGTTGTCGACGCTGACTAGGCCAAGTTTAGGAGGCAGCATGTCTGCAAGCGCTGCGGCACCCACTAGCCTACTACGTCGAGATCGTCAACAAGGTCGAGGAACACCCACCGCGACGGTATTCGCCCGACTGCCTGGGAAGGCACGACAGTATCCCACCGGGGCGAGCAATCAACTCACCCTCCCTACTAGTTCTACAAGAGGTAGATCAACTTCTAACTGCGCTTCTAATTTGCAATAAACAAGCCGTCGAGAAGGCACTGTAACGTACTGTGCCCAAGAAGGGGTTCTTACTGGATCTCAGGGGTTCAGGTCGCTGAGCAGCTGCTACGGACCGGCCCAATGGAACCATGTAATCTACCAAGTAGACCTTGGAATTGAAGATGGAGAGGGAAAAGGCAATCTACAAGATGGCAATGCTCGTAACCGCACTTGAATGCCAGGCTGTGGCACGTGCACGGCTAAGTCAGCTAGACCTCATGCCATGCCATGAAAAACGACAGAAAACGGGATTCTGTTTCCAGGATCCAGGCCGCCACCAACAAGACCGCCCACCACCCACCTCGCTGCCCTTGGTGCCGCCACCCGCCATGGAGAGCTTTCATGCAAGCAAGAAGGCCGTTGGGTCGCTCTTTTCGACGAGTGGGAAAAGGAGTAGGAATACAAGGAGTGCCGCCTGCCTTCCCCTCCGCTCCCGTCGACACCGAGTCGAACTGCAGTCACCCTCCCCTCCACCGTCAAGATCCTTCCTTCCAACACCTGAAAAAAAATATCTTTGCATGTACGTTTCTATCAGAGCATGTAGGGGCAGAGTAAATGGGTAACAGATAGATGATGTCGGAAGAGAGGGAGGCCCGGAGGGCCCTGCCTGCACAGGATAGAGATATCCTGTGCGGAGGGCCCGCAGTGGGTCTCGCGGGCCCTGGCCCGCGCCTCTGTCTATCTAAGGCCCTAATGGCCGTGACAATTTCCCCTTAGCCCCTCCCTTTTCCCTCTCTGCTTTCCTTTTGTTGATTAATGTCTTACTGACGGGTGGGCATAGGCACGGCACAAAGACTCGATATTTACTCTAAAAGACTAAAAGAACAAAGTAGTAAAAAAAGCAACAATTGGTGCGAAGTACCGGCGACGTGTACGTGCCCTTTTGGGGAACGCGCAACCACGGAATTGGGAGGCTCGTACTGGAGCGACTTCCTGTAAGGGCACGCCGCGCCATAACACCACTCCATAACACGGTGCTCGATACCCTTGCGTACCGCGAGCTGATGCATTCCCTGGTTTTTTGAGCTGGACCTGTCACGGCGATTAGACAGAAGGAGGGACAATCAGAACCGCCATCCTGATTGTAATAGGGGTCTCATACACCTAACGTACAGGAGAGACAAGGCTGCAAATGCACGGAGGGCACGCCGCACCGTAACAGCAGCGGCGTCAAAAGATATGGTCCTGGGCAAGTTAGCGCACGCTCAAATGGTTATTCCGAGAACGCTTCTCGAACACGCGCGAGCGCATGCTGGGACGCCAGTCGATCCGGGTGTCCCTCTGAAAGCGTTCTTCCTTCAACAGCCACCACGTACTCCAACAAATCGACCGCCTTTTTAACCTGCCCGTTGGCCTGGTATGCCGCGGCGAGTTCGTGCTGCGACGCCAGTCGATCCGGGTGTTCTTCTGAAAGCGTTCTTCCTTGGACAGCCACCACGTACTCCAACAAATCGACCGCCTTTTTAACCTGCCCGTTGGCCTGGTATGCCCTGGCGAGTTCGTGCTGCGACGCCAGTCGAGAAGGGTGTTCCTTTGAAAGCGTTCTTCCTCGGACAGCCACCACGTGCTCCAATAAATCGACCGTTTTTTTAATTTGCCCGTCAGCCTGGTATGCCGCGGCGAGTTCGTGCTGCGACGCCAGTCGAGAACGGTGTTCCTCTAAAAGCGTTCTTCTTCGGACAGCCACCACGTGCTCCAACAAATCGACCGCCTTTTTAACCTGCCCGTTGGCCTGGTATGCCCCGGCGAGTACGTGCTGCGACGCCAGTCGATCCGGGTGTTCCTCTGAAAGCGTTTTTTTTCGGATAGCCACCACGTGCTCCAACAAATCGACCGCCTCTCGGATCCGTCCGTCCATTTGCAGACACCGCCCTGCCCAAAATCTTAGTCGATTAATTGCTTCACTTTCACCTCCCCTTGCCGTTCCATCCGTTTGGACCATTTTGAGCGCATGCGGCATATACTGCCTCCACCGCTCGCGATTTTCCCATTCGTCGCTGGGGAAAACCTCCGCCATTTGCGCCAAAGCGTCTTCCGTTGTTTTTTCTGCATCTCCTTTCCCCTTAACCCATTCCCGTATTGCCAAGTGCACCAGACTGTGCATGTCGAACATGCCGCTATCTCCTCGCTTGCCCAGGAACGCATACCCACAAAGCAGCCCGATAGCCGCCGTCATTCGCTGCTCTGTCCCTACACTGGGCAGCATCGACCGTGGTATGGCTTTGGGCTCGACATATGCCGCGAATGAAAGTAGCTTCGCCGCGTCCGCATTAATCCTGTGGATCTGCTCGAACGAAATGATCCATGTCGTCGCCACCACGGTCTGCGTTTCCTTATACCGTGTGTTGTCGGTGAACTTTGCGGCTAGTAGTTCGACTCTATCCCGATCCGTATTGCGGAAAATTCTAAGGTATTCCGCAATCGATACCTGGTTTTCGTTCATGTAAGCGGCCGCCTGAGTAATCGCTAGCGGCAAATGGGCGAGCTCTTTTAGGAATTCGTCGATGGTGTTTTCCGGCGGTAGATTTGTTTCAGCCAATGACTTTCCCAAGAACTCTCGTGCTTCGCCGCGACTCATTTTTAAAAGGTCGACGATGTTATTCCTAACAACACTGGTGGCCACCTTTCGTGACCGAGTCGTAAACAGGATCCGGCTACCGCTGCTTTGCGGGAGGTAGTCGTTTATTCCGCCCTCATCGCCTTGCCCGAACACAATATCCCAATCGTCGGCGTTATCAACGATTAGCAGCCACTTTCCAGCCGTCGCTGAGCTGAAATGGCGGTGGAATGTATCTTTGGCACCTTCGCCCTCGCCGAATGGGATGCGCAGCTTCCTGAGTATGTCGACGCACGCCTGCTCGAAGCTTGCCATGCTCAAAGCTACCACCCAGAGGACAGACCACCCCGACTTGTTTTCCCACGTCGAGTAGGCGAGCTGCAGTGCCACTTGTGTCTTGCCGATGCCCCCGAGCCCGACGAGGGCGACGCGTTGAGGGCCATCTTCGCCAAACAGCTTCTTTTCGAGTTTGCTGAGGATCCCATCCCGTCCTACAAAATATGTGTTCTTTGAAAGCGGGATATAGGAATGGGTGTCGACTACTATTTGTCATGTTAGTTGTTGTGCGGCACAAAACGAGGCACTCCTCGCGGACCGGCCACCAAAGCTTTCTCCCGCCCGAGGAACTCGTCCACAAATATGCTAAACAATCTTTTATAATCGCGAAGGTAGTTTACGAAAATGAAAAAAATGTCCTGAATTAAAACAAATGCTACTAACCCTTATGATAGTCGTGCGTGGCGGCGCCTGCCACCTCGTATTTAGCAAGGATCCCCACGGCCACTGAAGCCGCCGTTGCCGCCGCGAAGTCCTGCCATTCCTTGTTTTTGTGGCTGTCGGCATAGTCACAAATGCCCTTAACGACGATGCAAGGAACCTCGTCCCACGCCCCGGCTCCTTCCATCTCGAAGGCGATTACCTTGTGGTCCTCGGCGATCTTATCCCGATGGTGGCCCGACTTCATAACCGCGTTGCCAGAAGCGACTTTCCCGATGAAGATTTTGGAGATAAGCTCTGCCGGGCGCTCGTGCTGGCGGTTCTCCCTCGGCCTGTAAAGGGTAAGGTTGCACCCTGCGGCACCGCAGGATAGTATGGAGGCCTCCTCACAGAAGCGCATGGAATGTGCCGCACAAGCGTCGCATTCTTTGTTGCGATGGGCGTGTTGGTAATCTGGAGGGAACAGCTTATCGGTGTCGTCGGGAGGCATGGTGTACTTGGCCTTTCGCCCTTTCGCAACCGCAGCAGCCTGCAGTCGGTCCAAGTTGGCCACTGCTTTGGACTGCAAAACTGCCAAGTCGTGCTCACGCTCGAAGAAGTTCAGCAGTCCCCGGATGTCTTTGCTGGCCCTCCCGAGGCTGTCGTCAATGCTGGACTTGACGACGAACTTGTCCGGATGCTGTCTGCCAAAATCGTAGTTGACAATGCTCTTGCTAATAACGACATCTCCTAAGAAGGACTTTTCGCCATTTATGTGTGGGAGACCTCCGCAGATACCGACTATTAAGGCGAGCTTGATGTTGGGAAAGCTGGAGAGCATGTGCGCTGACGCCGCGGCTGCAGCTTCCTTCCCCATGTTTGGGAGGACGATGAGAACCACGGCATGGTTTCCGATTCGGCCAGTGGTATACGTGTTATTATCGCCGCTGGCGCGTCCGTACCCTCCGTCGTGGATTTCGTCGAAAAGGAGGTCGACGGCATTGGACTCGAGGATTAAGGCACATATGATCGCGATATGGAAACCGCCGCGGTTGGGGGGCCGCGACGGCAAATCCATGGTGGGCGGCGATAGAAAATCGATAACTGAGAATAAAAAAGGATATCAAGGACAGCAAAAAATGTAAAATACAAGTAGTGAAGTCGAGAGGGAAGGCACTGCCAACGTTTCAGGACCGAATGTGTTCCCGAATTTATTGTTTGGAAGCGCACCAGCAGCAGAGACGCAAGCGTGACGGAAAAGCAAAAGGAAGATCGCGGGGAAGGAAAGGATTTGATGATACAAAAAAGAAAACAGGGCAGTTTCTGGCGATTCCCCAGGAGGGTAGATTGGGGGCGCCGAGGGCCAAATGATAGGCTATAAAAACGCAAAAGGATGCATATTTTTCCAGCCACCATGCATGCCTCCGGAGCGATTGAGCCTGACCACCACCCACCGGCGAGCCTGACCTTTGCGCGTGCGAACCCCGCATTAGGCAGCACTGGACCTCACTATCCCTTGGGCCGTGGCCGCGTTGCGCCGGCTCTAAGGTCTCTAGGTACAGGGAAAGTTCTAACCACAAGGCAACTGTAAAACCCTACTCCTGGAGCCTTCTCTTTCTTCGTGTTTTTGGGGTTCTCACGACGTAAGATGGAGAGGGAAAAAGGGAATCTACAAGATGCGTGTGCTCGTGCCCCGCACTTTGAGTACCAGGCGTTAGGGCACATGCACGGCTGAGTCAGCAGGACCTCACGCCAAGCAGCCTAAAGAAAGCGTGCGGGGCAGTGGTACGGCGCGGCGTGCACTCGCAGCCTTGCCTCTCGTGCGTTGGGTGTATGTCAGAGGTGGCCTGGAGTCACGTGGGTGGCAACTAGTGCCCCATAGCTTTAGGCCTCGCACCGGCCCTGGCCTGCGATCAAGTAGAGAGATAGAACAACCAACAATCACCTTGGGTGCCAGTCATCGCGCACCTCCATCAGTGTATGAGACCCCTATCGCAATCAGAAAAGCAGTTCTGATTGCCCTAGCTTTTAAAAAAAAATGTGAGAGGTCTCTCTTTGTCTAACCGCCGTGACATCGAGGCATAAATAGTATGTGCAGTTGCGGAAGTTCCAGACGGCTTTGCGCAGGCCCATCCGGCCCCTTCCGCTTCGCCATCAAATACTTCGGCGGGTGCGCTAGTCTGCCGTATCCGGGCAGTTTGCGTTGACCGGCTTGGTGTATTACCCAGCGTAACCAACTGCTCCGTCTTCCGCTTTGGATCTGTCGCTGTAAATTATAACGTCCGTAGGGGAGAGGGTGCTAAGCCACCCTATAAATGCTTTGGCGGCTGCTTGCTTTTCTTATGTGGCCACCGTAAGCCCTGTACAAGGGAGGCCAGCCGAATGCAGGCCGGGACCCAGTATTCGCTAGGCGCGACTGAGCTGGTGCTGTTGGTCCATGCGCTTCTGCAAAATATTTTTGTCCAATGAAAACTGGAACTGGCATTAGGCAGCAGCGAGCCTGGACGACACTGAAAGCGGGGTTGCGGCTCCGACCGCAGGTGGCAAACACCACACCTGGAATTGTTATTCAATACCAGCAGTGCCTTGCAATCCACTTCCCAGCCCCAACCCAGTTACTCATCCGAATCGCCGGGTCAATTTATCCTTTCGAACCTTGCCACCTTGGTTGTGGAGCCTACGTTGCTGTATCGGGAACCACCGTCGTCGTTGCGCCCCGCCCCGCGTTATGTCGCCCTTCGGGCGGAAGAAGCCTAGCGAGGAGGCTTCCTCGAGCTCTGAAAAGCGGCCCAGTCGCTTGAAATTCTGGCGCAGGCCGAAACTGGGCGGTCCAGGCAAGGCCGCGCCTGCCAAGGATGACTACGAGCCAAACAATGAAATCATCATTCCCGAACCCTCTAGTTTGTTTCGAATCACCGACGAACCCAAATTATCGAATGCTCCAACGCCAGCACCTCCCGAACCGTCCCCAACAAGCAACAACAAAGATGGCGGAACGACGGCGACGAATTCGGAATCTTTGTGGGATATGGCGTACGAAGCCCTTCGGAAAGAGAAGCCAGAAGTAGTGCAGGCCTACGAGGAACTGCTGTCCAAAATGTCGACTTGCCTGGCGAACACATCTTCCACGACCGACCTGAACGAAGTCCTTTCCAAAGCGGCCAGCGATCCGGTAAACACACCTTTCGCGTCCAACACCGGAACAGCGGACTATCAAGCGCAAAATGCTACAATTCGACGGGATATGATGACGGACATTATCGCTTTAGGCCGCAAGCACATGGAAGGGAAACAGATCGCCTTCAAGATCGGATCGCATAAATTTGTACTTCAAGATCAAGTGCAAAATCTTGTTGCCGGCGTCCAATTTGGAAAGGACTGGATCGGTGAGGCGGTGCAAGCCAGCCCGCCGGCGAGCATAGCCTGGGCAGGCGTTTGCCTGCTTCTGCCCCTCCTGACCAACCCTAAAGAAGTGGAGGCAGCCAACGAAAAGGGCCTCGCGTATGTCACCCTAAAGATCCGGTACTACACAGCTATGGAATCGCTTTTCCTGGACAAACAGGCTTTTTCAGCAGCCGTAAAGCAGGAGTACCGAAATCTCCTTATCGAACTCTATCAGGCTATCATCGACTTCCAAGCCCAGAGCGTTTTGCGGTTCTTTAGGGGTCGATTCAGCAACTTTTTGAGAGATACCGTGAAATGGGATTCGTGGGAAGGAATGCTTCAAAAAGTCAAAGAGTCGGGACGCAGGGTTGAAAGCAAATCGTTGCAAATCAATGCCGCCTTAAGCAGCGCAGCACTAAGCGAACTCGTTCACTGGGCGAAGCAGTCGGACGAAGAAAAGTGCCTGCAGAGCTTGAGGTGTGGAGATTATGCTTGGTACAAAGACCGAGTCCATGAGCGCGTATCGGATACGTGTTTTTGGTTTCTGAACCACGACAGCTATCAGTCTTGGTTGAATGACAAATCTGGCCCACTGCTGGTTTCGGCCGATCCGGGGTGCGGCAAGTCTGTCCTCGCCAGATATCTCATCGACTCCAGGTTCGACTTCAGACTGCCCAGCGACGCTGCGATATGCTACTTTTTCTTCAAGGAATCGGACCAGAACACAGTCGAATTTGCTCTTTGTGCTTTAATCCATCAGCTGCTTTGTCTGCGCCCCAAGCTGATGCGCCACGCACTGCCGAGGTATAAACAGGACGGAGCGGGGCTTGCCAGCAACATTACTGCGCTCTGGAACATCTTGGAAAGTGCCACAGCAGACCCAGAAGCCGGGACTGTTCTTATTGTTTTCGACGCTTTGGACGAATGCTTGCAAAACGATCGCAATATGGCGACCCTGTCACAATACATCCGCACCCATTTCGAAAAAGGCCCGAAGCATATGAAGATCTTCCTAACCAGTCGACCTTATCAAGGAACGATCCGGCACATTCAGGGGCTCGAAAAGTCTTTTCCCAACATCCGAATTAGAGGCGAAGATGATTCCGAAACCATTCGCGAGGAGATTAATTCGGTTATCGAGTACCGAGTGGACCGGATGGAATTTGGCGATGACCTTAAAGCACACCTAAAGCAACGCCTAATGCACATCTGTCAGAAAACACTGTCTCTAGTCATCCATGAATCGGAAGAATGCATTGTCTCTCCTTTCCTCTGTCCTTCGAAGAGGATGGTTGTTCTCGTTGATATACACAAAGTATGTGGTCTGTGCACCGGGGTGCCCATGTTCATGCTCCACCTGGAATCTTTCTAGATCCTTCCACATCGTACCATCGAGTACCTTCGTATCTGACAACATCACCCATCGTACATATCTCTGGTTGTACCTAGTTTTTGACCACCTAGAAAGCCACGTTATCAAAAACACCGTTCAAGGGCTCGACAAGGCTGTCGAAAACCTGCCCGCCACGGTTAACGAGGCGTATGAGAAGATTTTAAGCCGATCCAGCCACCCAACAGAAACCAGGAAAGCTATCCTCATCCTCCTCGCGGCGTACCGGCCGCTCACCCTTCACGAGATGCAAGTTGCAGTCGGCCTGGACACCGACAGTACCAGCCTGCAAAGCCTTGATTTGGAGCCCGACGAGAGCTTCGGACGACGTCTCCGAGACTGGTGTGGTCTGTTCATCACGGTGCATGATGACAAAGTTTACTTCCTCCACCAAACGGCGAGGGAGTTTCTCCTCCCTCTTGCTGCGTCCTTGCCGGCTCCTCCTAGCACCACAACATGGGCGCATGCTTTCACCATTCGCCAAGCACACACGGTTCTTGCCGAATCTTGTACCGTGTATCTCGACCTCCGAACCGACGAAAACGTGGAAGCCGACTTTTTAAATTATTCTGCCAAAAATTGGGGTGCTCATTTCCGGGAGGCTAATATCGTCGATGGTGCTGCTATTATACCTTTCGCCTTAAGGGTTTGTGATCCAAATTCGAAGTGCCATTCGGCGTGGTTCGATATCTATTGGCAGTTAGAGATGCAGAGCTCCTACAGCGGTTTTACAAATCTTATCATAGCGTCGTATTTTGGGCACGAGGCCGTGGTCAAGCTGCTGCTCGATACAGGCAAGGTCGACGTCGACAGCAAGGACGACGAGTACGGGCAGACGCCGCTATCGTGGGCCGCGCTTAACGGGCATGAGGCCGTGGTCAAGCTGCTGTTCGATACAGGCAAGGTCGACGTCGACAGCAAGGACGATTACGGGCGGACGCCGCTATCGTATGCCGCGCTTAACGGGCATAAGGCCGTGGTTAAGCAGCTGCTCGATACAGGCAAGGTCGACGTCGACAGCAAGGACGACGAGTACGGGCAGACGCCGCTATTGTGGGCCGCGCTTAACGGGCACGAAGCCGTGGTTAAACAGCTGCTCGATACAGGCAAGGTCGACGTCGACAGCAAGGACAATAACGGGCAGACGCCGCTATCGTATGCCGCGGAGAACGGGCACAAGGCCGTGGTCAAGCTGCTGTCGAAGAATGGGGACGGACTCGTTGCGAAACTTCCCGAATAACGACTTTACCACCTCCCCACCCACCACCTATTACCTGCCCTTACTTATATACCTAAAACGTGGCAAATAGATGGCCCAAGAATATGAAAGAACGTTACTAAGCCAATGTTTGTTAAATGACGACAGCTCCGCGTGGCAATATCACGGCCCAGGTGTGATATGCTGTCAGAGGTGGTCTGGAGTTACGTGGGTGGCAACTAGTGCCCCATAGCTCTAGGCCTCGCACCGACCCTAGCCCGCGACCGAATAGAGTAGAGCAACCAACAAATCACTTTGGGTGCCAGTCGTCGCGCACCTCCATTTCTGAAAGGGAGCACGTAACTAACATGTGCCCCACTTGTAGCAGTACTGTGCGTCTGGGGCAGGGGGAGGAACAGGCCCCCCTCTGTACATATAGGGCATCTTCCCACCCACCGGACCAAAAGAAGTGAATCTAAATACGCACGCATGGTTTCCCGATTTACATTTCAACATGATGGATTGGCAGGCTTTGGCAGGCTTCCACCCATTGGATCCACTGTATGCACTGATTGGGCGGGCCCGTGCACAATGGGTAAAATTTTGATTGCGGGTCGAGGTGCAAAGGCACCGAACCCTTCCTTGTACTCTGCTGTTGTGACGTAACGTGCCTTAGGGGCACTGCACTGCTCCGGGCCCTGTCACCATCTCCGCGTGTACTACAGAGCTAAAGTTAACTGCCTACCTTCCCGAACCAGGGTACAAAGCCTCGATGCTGCCTCTAGAAAACAAAAAACTGCGGTCTGTCTCGACGACGAACTGCCGCCTTTACCGTAGATATTTTTAGAGGCTGCGTGGCATCAGACCAGACCTCCGCAGGCACCGGGGCCGCGGCCGCTCTAGCAGCCCAGCTGCGGTGGCGGAATGCGCACGATTTGGTGCAGATGCGAAAACATCCTGCCTTGGCGTATCCAGGTTGTGCTATTGGAAGAGCAGAAGCGCCAGGAGCACATTTCTCTTCTCATCCAGGGATGATGCATATGGGTTAGAATACAAGTGGGTATGTAAGGTGGGGAGCAGCAGACGGCCGTTGTGCCCTGCCGTAGTATGGGAACGGTTGGCTGGGAGCAAAAGGGAGTAGAGACATACGTTTTTGGGGGCGAAACCTTCCGTTTCTGGAGGCCTGGGATCCCGTTTGCTCTGAAAATATCCAAGTACCAAAACATAAGGGGGAGCAGACCCAGTGCACAGGGATTGTCAGGTCCAGAGCCCCAGTCCTGGCACGTTGACCAAAACAAAATCCACAACCAACCGTTGGTGGGATTGCTACTTCGCATTTGGCATATTTTGATCGCAGGGAGGTCAGGCAAGGGACGAAGCAGGAGGCGAAGAGCAAAGCCCATCCTCTTGTCTCGCGTGCGCAGCTGGGAGCCCACTTTTAACCCACAGATTCCCTGGGGTTGGGTGGGGCGGACGTGGATCTGCCAGATCAGCTAGGTTCCGTGGCCTCCCCCTACTGCCCATGACATCATTCTTCTGGGCCTTATTCTGGATATGCGTCCACTATGACGGGCCAAATAAGAGCAGAACCGTTCCGGAGTTTGACCAGTGGAATTTATCAGCATAGAATTGTTGGCGAAGGAGAAAAAGGGACAAGTGTCTCACGAAAGGGACTTTATCAAATCCGCGAAAGATAACTTCACGCCATACTACTAGCCGTTAATACCTTGGGTTAATAAACTACGGAAAGTGGTATTTCCGAACGGTGGGAAATGGGAAAAAGAGGAGATAGGATTGTATAATCGGATGAGGGAAATCATTGGGGAAGCCCGCAAGGATCCAAAGGTGTCGGCGTAGAGGTAGCCTCGCGGATTAGGGAATGCAGTGCTGTGACGATCTGGGTCAAGACCCGCAGGCCTTGACCCACAGACGAGGATCCACATGAAGAAACATGATCAAGGCGCGCTGAACGCGCGCCGAACACCGGAATCCCCTCTTTCCTTCCTTTCTCCCCTAGATTAGAATCTTCGTTCGTAGCGCCAATTGAAGGTGTTCTCTTCTTTGGCCATGGCCGTGACAAGTGCTGCCGACTCTCACCCTGCGGCACGACCGACCAGCAGGGGTATTCGGGGATGGAGGTTTCCCCAGGCTATCATAACGGAATGCCCCACCCGCCGCAGAGAGCCTCGCAGCCGCTGACCAGTCAGCCGGGAGATTTTCGGGGCGCAAGTGAAGTAGGACCGAGCCGTGGTGCAGCTGCACAACGGCGGATAGACACTGCCACAGGGTTGCTGGTGGAGGATGGGTCCTTGTGGGGCAATCATAGCTGCCTACCTAACGTGCTGCGAGGCCCTCGACGCGTCCCAAGAAATTGGAGAGGGCTACCTGGGAGGTACTCCCTGCTGTTTGTCCAAAAAGTTTTATTCCCGCGTCAGGAGCGCGCGTTGGTAATCAGAGCACGAACCCCACAGCGGAATCATCGTGCCGGAAAGGGACTAACGTCTCTCGGCGCAAGCGTATACGAACATTGTCGCGATCGCATCCGACGGGCAGCCGCGTCCCTCGAACAGGACTGCGGGGAACGCCCCACGTCTCGTCGCATTCGCAACCCCTTACGGCTCCTTTTCGGCCCGCCGCCGTGGCAAGAGGGTTTACCGTAACGACCTCGTCATGCAAGGCACGCGCTCCCTTAACCACGAGCACTCAGCCGCCTCGTCGCGTCGCCGCCGCCGCTTAACTGGCAGTAAAAGCGGCCAAAATACCCGTCTGCCTCGCAAATGTAACGGCTCAGGGCAGTTGACCGCGCGCCACAGGTATCCACGTGAGCACGCGCTGTGGAACAGCCCGTGCGACAAGACGCCGCACCACCTTTTCAAGAGTCTTTCGTCCATAGCATCAATTGAACCTGGCTGCGAAGCCTACTCGCCCTGATCGTGACACAACGCTCAAAATAGAAGCCCGTGCAAAGCCGAGATCCAAT